TGGCTTCTGATACATTGAATTATCGATCAGTGAAAGCCCTATTTAATGGTTAAAAAATGTCTGACTGTTAGTCTTGTATAGTACGAGTAGTAAATGACTAACAGATGATCTTGTCAGGTAAAGAGAGTCCTGTATCAGCAGCTAAACTGTCTTGGGAAACATCAATTTATATTTTTATACATCTTTACACTACATAAGTCAATCATTAATCTGTAGTATGCATGACATTTACACATTCATGTGCCATTGCATCTTATAAATTGAATTACACAATATTGTAGCGAAAATGGAAAAGTTACTTCCCCTTATTTAGTATACCTTATTTGTATTGAATCAAAACAAACTGTTCAAGGCGAGAATTCTTATTAATTTGATCTGTAAGTTGATATCATACATGTTTGATGATGTTGCATGATTTAATTACCTTTTACTTTTCATTTTGGAGTCCTTAGAACATTGCAGGTATATTATTTAATGTAGAAAAGGTAAGATTATATTCATTTCGGCGATGGTTCCCGGGTCATGTAATTATATACAGAAGTAACGCATATTGAAAAGGTAAGCAGTAGTTAATTCAATTGAAGTAATATTCAAGCGTTTGCAAGATATGGAAGACACTACAGGGCGCAAGCAGTCCCGAGCCAATATATAAGGCAGGTGAATGTGAGAAATGGAGAGTTGGTGTTTTGGCAGCATGTTGAACAGTCGGCAATCCTAAATGCTATACCTACTTTTTATATTCTTAGTTGCACAGTGCATAGCGCTGTGATAAGGCTGAGAAATATTAAGTAGAAAGAAAGCAAGGATTAAAGATTAATAAAGGAAGAATAGTTTTATAAGTAGAGAAATAGAGAACGAGATAGAGGGAACATAATATATACAATAGTTATAATAGGATAATAATTTATTAAATTGTTTAGGTATAGAAATCATTATTTGTTTTTTTAATCAAAAGATGAGGTAGTCTGGAGGAAAATTATATCTATATATTTAATTCAATTTGGTGATTCATGCACATTTATTAAGTAATATTAATCATTGGTCTTCAATCAAATAATCATAAGGCAAAGAAGCCAGAGGAAAATTAAGTATTATTATAAAGGTATGAGCTCGGTGCACGTTACAATATTATGGGTGCAAGTTTTCAGGCATATGCCTGAAGCTCAGGTTTTTTGTGACAAATTTCATCATGTTTTACTATTAGATTATGTAGGAAAATGATTATGAATAAAGGTTTTCAGGTTTTTTCCAAATTTTCAACTTACACCCATGCAATATTGCTGTTCTATGCCAGACAAAATGCAAGGTTTTTAAATAAGGTTGTAAAATGTGTTGTGTCTGCATCGTATTTTGACAACAATTTTAATTATTCAGTCAAGTTTACGTCAATCACTTGTATTTATTATTACCACCAACCTTAAATGTATTCACATAAAACTTAATACATGTCTGCAGGATGATGATTATATTATAATCATTATTATAATTATCCAAGGCCTATAACTCTATAAAAAGGAAGTAGACTAAACGCGTGTATCTATTACCCGGTACCGTTACCCTAACGCATTCACATGCGATGGCATGCTTGTATGCATGATATTTTACGAATCAAAGCCATAAAATTATTTCATATAGTAATATTGGTCAAAATCCTGATAATTAAACAAGTTTTCATCACATTGCCTTCTTATCTGTAAACAGGTGGTATTAGTGGAAAACCCTTTTACATACCTCACGTGTAAGTATGTTTGCGCATGCGCGCAAGGACGGAATCCCCCAGATAAAACAACGTCACGTTTTGACAACGCACTGGTGAAAGTGATTTAAAATGAGACTTTTTATACGTACTGCCGAACTGACACTTAGATTTTGTCTCGTTTATGTATCTGCAGGATTTGAAATGAATTTTTGAAGAATGCATGTAAAAATCAAGCGTTTAAATGAAAAATACGGGTACTGCTTCTGTACGGGAACTGCTCGCATGCCAGTAGTACCAATGTTGCAAGAATTATCTCCCAGTTAAAAACTTGAAAAATGTTGTTTTTTTAATATAACTTCTTTAGTTTTAAAGGTATCTACCTCAAACTTCAAATATATAATTCTTGTCATCAACCAGATTGTATGTGACAAGGTTCATAACTCTCGAAGCAATATTTTCAGATTTATCTCCCTTTGAACTTAGAAATTTCTGAAAGAAATATTATAACTTATTTATTTTTTAAGGTATCTACTTCAAACTTCAAATATGTTTCTTATCATTACACACATGTTGTGTGACAAGGTCCATAACTCTAGTGTGACTATTTCCAGAATTTTTTCCCCTTGAACTTAAAATTATGTTAACAACAATAACTTCTTGTCATAAGAAGAAATATATTTATATCATAATTGATTTTTTTTATTAACCAGGTTTTTTATAGTTTGTATTCCTTACTGCGACCAGTATTTAATTAGTCGAGCTTTGCTGTCTCCTGTGACAGCTCTTGTTTAAGAATCTTTTTGCTTTAAGTTTTGCTTTCAACATTAATTTTTCAAAAAACTGTTTGTTTTCAATTGAAACTTTTTTTGCTTTTTTTTAATTACAATTCAAGGTCACTTTGGTGGATTGTGAGTGAAATAATTGCCGTTGTAAACTTAACAAAATTCTTAAGTTTTAACAAAATTTATTTTAGTTTGATTTGAAAAGAAACATTCCCAATAAGTTTGTTTGAGAATTCCCGAGACCTAATTTGGCGTGATAATCACACGGCATATAATTGCTATACAGCAAGCTGGTTTGTCATCCTTTTCTTTGCTAGGCCTTTTGTAATTCACTTATATAAGCCAACAGCTCAAAATTTTGTCATTTAATTGAGACCGATTCATCGAAGTCATAATGTGTTCAAGTTTTTTAGCATGTCCCTTCAACTTTGACTTAACAAAGTTCTACTGTTCATATAATTTTATATAAAACATTGCATGTTGTGCTTCCAGTCACCTCAGCCAAGACAATTTCTTCCATTTAGTATTTTATGAGAAACAATATTATTACTCAGGAGGAGAATCTATGCAACATTTTTTATGAGTTTTGTAATTAACTTTTAAATGTGTTTTATTATATTATGTATATTGTTTATTATAGACAAAGAGAATGATTTTTAACAGGACTTCAAGAAGGTGATGTGCAGTACTCCATCTTATCTCCATCATGTGAGAGTTGAACCCTCAATTCCTGAATGTGGTGCGGCTCATGACAGTGATGTGTCAAACCAATTCTTACATATCATCATTCTTATAATGGCCAGTGTCAAGAATAGGTAACTGACAAAAAAATTCTTGTATGTGTATCACTTACTTTCTAGCTCAACCATTTGATAAGAATAAGTAGAGCTATCCTAGTCACCCCAGCGTCGACTTAACCACTTATGTTAAAGTTTGCATACCACCTCAAATATTTTCAAATTCCAATGACTTATGGCTTTCGAACTTTGCACACTTGTTTACCATTATTCCCCCAACATTTATACAGGAGATAGATGGTGATTTTATGAAATGTCCATGTAAGTGTTTAGTAAAGTTTATGTGACATTTACTTTTGTTTGTTTTGGGGCATTTTGATAAGCAATACACTTTTCTGATTACAATTATATTACGGGTCAAGTTCAATTACCGGTATGTGGATTAGCCTGTCCATGAAATCCACAAAATGAATGCCTCATTGATAATCATAACTTTGCAATACTTGAGTATACAATTATTGTCTACAACTGTGAGCTACTGTATTGGTGAGTAAGTTTGCGTTCAAGTTGTTATCTCCAAAACTACTGAAGGGAAACTTCACACACTAACTTGAGAGCATAATAGGTTATTATCCAAGGTCCATCACTCTAACTTAGATATTTTGTCAGAATTATGGCCATTTAACCAATACTATCAGAATTACTCTTAATTCTTTATTTCTTGAAGGACGTTTTTGAAACATCAAATATATAATGTTTGTCAGCAACATCACTCTGCTGACAGCACTTGTTAAAAGGCTGTGATATGATTTCAACATTTTATGATTGTACTTTTATTGCAAAAGAATGTGGCAAAGATATATAAGTTTCTATAATTATAAGTTAGTGAGGGAAACCTGTTATAGCAGGTCTAAAGAGAAGGTTTGTTTTTTTGGTTTACCAGAGCAAAAAGTGATGAAGGTACTGCGAAATCATTTAAATTCCAGGGTATAAAATTTGGTGGTTTGTGAACAAAAAGCAATTTGGTAAGATTGTTAATTAATGGAATTCAGTTGCAAGGTAAAATTTAAAAAAACACAAGTCCATAAATTTGTGAATTTCAACTTTCAGCAATGAATAAGGAGAAAATTATGCTCGGCATTTGTGCCACATAAATGATAACATGTGCAAGAAAACATGATCTTGACCTATTCAACAGAAGCTCTGCCTTCTAAATAAGCAAGTGTTTAGTGTCAATTATATTTTGTAATTTGTTGTTTCATTATTAAAATAAAAGGTGTATAAAATCTCTCTTCATTAATTTACCGATGTAAACATGGTTGTTTTCTTGTGATAATGTGACCATGAATTATTTTAGCTACAAGAAATTTGAACAATGTAAAGTTCGAATGATCTGTGTTCGCATTTTTGAAATGTATTTTTATGTCTGTTACAGCACTGTGCTTAAAATTTCAGCATCCTGACGATAGAAACAATCACTGATATTTTTATATCTTTTACAAATAATTTGCTTTTTAAGTTACTTGATGTGTTGATATTGTTATTGTGAATGATAAAGCAACGTAAAAAGATTAATGTTCCGTACATGGCTATTGTTGTTGTCACCCCTGTACGGAAATGGACCCAACTTGATGTGGATAGAAAATAGATTTGAAGAACCCCATTCAAGTCATCTCTAATGGTTTGTTTTTGGTCTTATTAAAGTTATTTATTACATCTGTGTAGATTATTTGTGTGATATGCATTAAAATCAAAAGTTTTTTTTTCCTGTTTTCTTCAGGAACCTCTTCTCTTGATGGGAAGGATTTAAGATGTACTGCCTGCCAGCATCCGGGAATCGTAAAGTGGAAATTAGGTAAGAATGCAACAGACAAAACTCAATTTTACTTTACCAAGAATTTTGTTCCAAAGTATAATAATAGTTCACACAATATCAGTGAATTAACAATTCATACAGTATAAACACAATGACTTCTGCAGTAGGTGGCATGTGGTTTGGTTTGACAGACATGTGATGCTACGTCACTACTATCTTTTCTACTTTCATTTTGAATGCTTGAAAAATAAAGCATGGGTTCACATCTAACCATGATCATTAGGTAGTCCTTTTCAAGAATTGCTCTAATGTTTCTGGTCTGTTGAATAAGTAATAAGTTGGTAATTAAATCTTGTTCATATAGACCATATCATCTGATATATATACGAGAGATGATCATAAATAAACTGCACTTGTGCTGTCACAAACTATTACTTTTATATATCACACTTAATCGGAAAACATTACCTATAAACCGATACTATGTCTTATCTGATAACTCAAATAGCTTGTCCGTAACTGCTAATTCCAAAATCATGGTTACGCACACCCTGTAAAATGCATAAATTTGCGCTGATGACAGGAGCTTTATGATGGGTATGTTTTACAGAAATACGCCGAAACATCATGAGCTATCTAATAGACGTTGTCAGAATAAATGACTTCATTTATACCACCTTTGCCTTTGCAACGTCACTTGTTAAAGAAATACTTGCATTTAAACTGATGTCGTCAGAATGTCTCAAAAATGAAATAATATTTTGTCAAAAGTTAAAGGCTAGAAACTGTTTTAAACGTAGATTATCAAGAAAAAATGTCTTGGAAGCCATTTCATAGTTTTCAGTTGGCATAAACGATTAAGAAAAGGTAACGGAGTAATTGTAGACAAGTCAGGCAGAAGCAGAAAGAAGAAATTTTCCAGGATGTTTGTGACATCAAATGCCGAGACTTTGAAAAATTACAGGCAATTGACTGTGGACATATCAACAATATTTGACAGTAGTTAGGGGACAGTACAGTCAATTCTAACCAAGGATTTTAAAATGAGAAATGCTAATGCATTAACTATTATATTCTTGGTTTACAACTGCATAATTATTTCACTATTCTACTTATTTAACAATTTTGCCAATGGTCTTATGGTGAAATTTTGTGAACAGTTTTACAGTCACATTCAAAATCAGTTGTGCGTTATATTTATTTCAAACTAATAACAATTTTGTTTTGAGTTGTATTATTCTTTTTATTTTCTTGTATATATGATACATTATCATTCAGCAAAAGTATATTTATACTTTTATTCTGAATAAATAATATTGAATGAATGAATGAATGAAATACTTAATTGGTAAATTAATATACACTGTGATATTTGGTTCAGGAAAAAGATCTTCTGTACATTATAGATTTAAGGACTTTCACAAAGATTATATTATGCAAATATATTCTGTATTTATTTATGTGTTAAGTTTTTTTGTCTTTTATAGGAAACAGAGTGTTGATGTCTGGACTACTGTTGTGAAGTTTAAGATATAATACTTTTATAAAAAAGACTTACCTATACAGATCAATTGGTAAATATATATGTTAATTACTCTTAGAATGAAACTGATGCATACTTTTCCTCAATTTTTGTCAGTTGAATATATATATTTAAGATCTCTTAGTCATTAGAGATTACTGTTCAAAACATGGATTATGGCTGATTTATGGCAATTTATCAACTGAGAAAATTCCTGGTAAAAGTGTTGCATGATGAATTTAACTTCTTTCCATAGTAAAACCCACAGATGGTTTAGTAAACAAGTTTCTTTACCACTAAAATACATAGTACTAATTTCTTAATTTTTTCAGGTTCATATAAGTCAATTTACAAAATGAACATGATTTCTATCAGGTTAATCACATGCTCGCGATTATTGAAATAATTTATTATTGCCATTACAATTTATTTGTGGATGTCAGTAAAGTATGTGATTTGTGTTGCAATGCACAAGAGAACAGCTGTTAGTTTAGACGCTCGTCTTATAATATCGCGGACATTTTTTCATAGAATTACATAGGATTAAAGAAAAAGTAGCCGTGAAAACAAACATAGTTATTAAATTACCCTTTCTCTCCATAAAAAAAAATTATATGTAATAGATGGTGAACAGTTTTTCTTTTAATCGAGGTTTTAACTGAAAACATTACTGGTTTCTTAGCATTTTGTTTTCTATTTAATAGAGCAGTTAAAATAGTACAGCGATTTATATGTTTTGAAGTTTTGCATGTTGTTTAAAGTATTATTATGCCCATCCAAGGGTATGAAGTAAGTAAAGATCAAAATAAGTTTTCATTTTGTCATAATCCCTTTCAATTTGATAATAAAGTTAGCATAAACAATAAGTAACACACAGGTCCAAATGAAATTTCTGTAAAGATCCATTACAATAATAATAAACTTTAACTTATACATAGATATTTTGGTTTTAGTGGTATATGTATTATTAAAACATGCTTCACACTATTAGAAATTAGTAATATACACGAACAAACAGAGAGTTGGGCTATCAAGTGTATTATTACACGATGTATGCACAGCATAAAAAAAAGCTTACACATCATATCAAGTCAGATATGAAATCAGTAAACCAAATAACGTCAGGAAAAATACTTTTACGCTCAATGTAGTTCAATATATTTTTATCAATTCTGTAAGAATGGAAATAGATATTAATTTTTCTTGCATTGTAGTATATAAATGCACAGTTTATCATTCAAATGCTTTGCAATTAATCACTAAGGCATATCGGTCTTTGTGATTACATTCCTGCACATTTTAACTGAAAGCCTGCATTATTTTACAACAATACACTCAAAATGATATCTTTTTTCCTAAATAAATAATAATAAGTGATATTAATATATGCTTCTTTTATTATCAGAGAGACACAAACTTCTGGGAGGACAGTGAATTGACAACATGAAAACGGAATGAGACATTCTAGTGGACTAAATGATGACACTTAAACTGTAGGGATCCAAAAATCTACAACAATGAGAAGTTCATTAATCGGTACAGCAATGTGTTAAAAAATTCTAAATAAATTATTTGATAGTGTTACAAATGAAAAACTCTAGAAGCAGGTTTTCAAAGAATTTTAAAATCAATAAAACAGTTGTGTTACAACAACACTGTTATAAAATCAGTGATAAACACCAGTAGAAAATGATGGCGAAATGTCTCACAAAAGTCAAAGGAATACAAAATCAGTTATATCACATAGTGTTACAACTCCAATGATAATCACCAGTAGAAGGTGTTCAAGGAAATCAGAATCAATTATATCATAGTGTTATAACTCCAGTGATAAACTCCAGTAGCAGGTGTTCAAGGAAATCAGAATCAGTAATATAGTGTTCTAACTCCAGTGATAAACTCCAGTAGCAGGTGTTCAAGGAATTTTGAATCAGTAATATAGTGTTCTAACTCCAGTGATAAACTCCAGTAGCAGGTGTTCAAGGAATTCAGAATCAGTAATATAGTGTTCTAACTCCAGTGATAAACACCAGTAGCAGGTGTTCAGGGAATTTTGAATCAGTAATATAGTGTTCTAACTCCAGTGATAAACTCCAGTTGAAAGTTTCAAGGAATTTTGAATCAGTAATATAGTGTTCTAACTCCAGTGATAAACACCAGTAGCAGGTGTTCAAGGAATACAAAATCAGTTATATCACATAGTGTTACAACTCCAATGATAATCACCAGTAGAAGGTGTTCAAGGAAATTAGAATCAATTATATCATAGTGTTATAACTCCAGTGATAATCACCAGTAGCAGGTGTTCAAGGAATACAAAATAAGTTATATCATAGTGTTCCAACTCCAGTGATAAACTCCAGTAACAGGTGTTCAAGGAATACAAAATCAGTAATATCATAGTGTTACAACTCCAGTGATTAACTCCAGTAGCAGGTGTTCAAGGAAATCAGAATCAATAATATAATGTTATAACTCCAGTGATAAACTCCAGTAACAGGTGTTCAAGGAATACAAAATCAGTAATATCATAGTGTTACAACTCCAGTGATTAACTCCAGTAGCAGGTGTTCAAGGAAATCAGAATCAATAATATAATGTTACAACTCCAGTGATAATCACCAGTAGGTGTTCAAGGAAATCACAATCAATTATATCATAGTGTTCCAACTCCAACTCCAGTAGAAGGTGTGCCAAAATTACAACTCAACTGATAGAAATGGGTAGCAGAAAATTATAAGTTTTGTGAGGGAGCATACATGTTTATAATTTATCTGATGAGCTGACGTAATTGTCACAATATCTATTTGCCCAATTTTTATGTGCAGTACAGCAGGCAAAGTAGTACTCTTAAGGCCTCAGCAGACGGTAGGATTTAGTTGTACAGCACTAATTAGGGATAAGATGTACATTTTTCAAAGCAATAAACACTTGCCTTTAAATTTGCCTATACATCTTAGTTTTAATTGGTGTTGTACTTCAAAATCCTACCTTCTGTTGAGGCCTTTACTCTTGATTAAATTTTCTCATTAATAACTTTGAAAATTTTCTTTTATAAAAATATGAATCTGTAAGAAATACAATTTGTTCAGTCAAATATTTTGTTAGCAAAACATATACATGTTTATTTCCAAGTTACATTTTAGCGGTACAATAAGTACAGGAAAGTAAGATGTGTTATAAATTATTATACATACACATGTTTCAGTGTAAAATAGTTCCACTCGCATATTTTTGATATGACAGTACTAAAATTAATTTTTGGACATTAACATTTCGTTTGATATAGACAACCAGTAAAATGTGTGAAAAAAATTCAGATTATTAGCTCACTCGGTTTTTCCAGAATAATTATTCTTCTTATGAAAACGACCAAAAATTTAATTGTGTTGCAACATTTTAACTTACATCAGGTTGAAAATAGCACAAAAATACAATTTTGAATTTATTTTTGGGTATGTCTTAATTATCTTTTGCATATATTGCTGTTTTAAGTGTCCCAGCGGATTTGTCGACAACATTCAAATTTTTATGTTCTTGGGATTTTGGACCTCAGTGGAGTTTATTTAACGTAGATTCAATTCATAGTTGCATCGCTTAATAAACAATTTTTGCTAAGTTTACATTTATATATTTGTTTGTACATTTCATTATAGAAATACTCAGATTCAATTTGTTTCATATTACATTTTGTACATTTTGGTTTCTTTCAATATTTCTATGTCTACCCTCTTCAGTAATTAATTTAGGTGAAGAGCACCTAAACTTTGATAGCATTAATTACAATGCTTAAAATTATTAACACAACTAAAATATTTCTCTTGGGTAAATTCTATTTGAAAAAAATTATTGCTTTCTAATTTTAAAGAAGAAATAAGTTAGCACACCATTGTTGTAGTTGCTGATCATTATTTTTCTGTATTATGGTATATACAGGCACAGTTGTAATATTATCATTATTCTATAGATGTATAGCACCTTAATTTGACAACATATTTTTAACATTTTTTAACCAGCTATTTGACCATTTGCATCTTTAAAAAGCACCTGTTTGTATAAAAGAGATTTTGGGATTTCATAACTCTGTTCAAGTACTAAATAATTCTGACTTTTCGCAGAACTAATAAAGGATCATAAAAATGATTAAATTTTAGTATACATTTATTTTGAAATACCCATTGAGTAAAGTCCAATCAATTATTTTTGTAAATACAGCAGTTGAAGTGTAAATGTGTCAATTTGAATATGAGGATGTCATGCCAACATTTATAAATAACAGGTGTTGCAGACTGATAAATTATATCACAAACAAATTTGCAGAGACTCTTGTTAATTGTTCACAAGCATTTGCTAAACTGTTCTGCTTTTTTCTGCTTAAAGGCCCTTTATGCCCAGAAATGTTTTTAGTCCCCTACCGGTTAAACCGGAGGGGACTTTAGGTTTACCCTCTGTCCGTCCGTCCGTCCACAAAACTGGATCCCGCGATAACGCAAAAAGTACTGAAAATGTTTTTATGAAACTTGATATATGGATAGATGGCAGTATGGAGATTGTGCACGTTTTTTTTTTTCTTCCTATGTTGAAAATTCTGGCTGCTATGGCAACAAATAGTCAGAAAATATGGCAAATTTAACACATAAACTGGATCCAGTGATAACTCAAAAAGTACTGAAAACATTTTTATGAAACTTGAAATATGGGTACTAAGATGGCAGTCTGGAGATTATGCACATCTATTTTTTTCTTCCTATGTTGAAAATTGTGGTTGCTATGGCAACAAATAGCCTGAATTTCAAGATTTCTGATTTAAATTTTTAAGCTTTTTCACTATAAGTTCTTTATTTCTTAAGGTGTTTACTTCAAACTTTAAATATAAGTTTCTGGTCATCAACCACATCATATGTGACAAGGTTTACAACTCTAGCACAAAAATTATCAGTATTACCTCCCTTGAACTTAGATTTTTTAGGGGAAAAAATGTTGTCTTTTTTAAATAACTTCTTTATTTCCTAATGTATCTACTTCAAACTTCACTCAACATTTTTGAGAAGGTTAAATACTCTAGCAAGACTATTTCCAGAATTATGTCCCCCTGGAACTTAGATTTTTTTCGAGAAATTGGTATTTTTCACTCCAATGTCTTCATTCCTTATAGGATTTACTTTAAAATCCCACATCGTAATAATATGACAAGGTTGTATAAACATAATTTCCTTGCTAGGCAGGGAAACTTAACACATTACTGTGATATAGACAAACTTAGAACTCAAAAGATTCATCTGATATAAAATAATTTAAACATAAAAAACTTATTTTTTCTGCTTTCTATAATTTATATCTGAGGCATAAATTATAATGTGCCTTTAAAATATTCTTTGTCCATCCATGTAATCTCCTATCATTTTGATTAAATAATTCCTGTTAATAACTAAAACAATAGAAAAGTATATAATGTTTTTAATCAGGTTTTTAACGAAAACTGGTAATTGTAATGCTGAAGTTGGTAGGCGGGCATCAACTTTTGGTTTCTGCTCAATAACTTGAGTTTGCTTTGACCTATTGGTGGCAAACTTGTTGTGTTGGTAGCTTTTATTAAGAGGCAGCTTGGGATTGCTACTAAGGTGTCTGTGAACAAGGTCACTGTTGCTAAAAAATAGTAATTCAGTTTCTGCTCAATAATTGGAGTTTGCTTAGGCCTATTGACACCAAACTTGGTGTATGGGTAGCTTAGATCTAGGAGCAAGGTCAAGGTCAGTTGCTTACAATAGAATTTTCAGCTTCTTCTCAATAACTTCAGTACACAGTCACATTGACCTATTGATACTTTGCATGTGCACTTGTTGTTGGTAATTGTGTAACAAAACACAGATACTTTATTTTTAACACTTAACAAAGATTTGAATGTTGGTACATAAAATTATCATATATTGAATTATTTTCATAACCAACTCTCCGGTCTCTGTGTTTTCTTGTAAAACTGTAATATAAATCACAAACAGCCAAAAATAACAGTGTAGCTTCTTTCCGTTCTTTAAAGTAAGCAAGCACTGTGCAGTTCTAGATACTATTAACATACAAAACTTATCATGTTTGAAATATTTTTTTACTGATATGATTTTAATATTTTTAGCTCACCTGTAACAAAGTGACATGGTGGGCTTTTATGGTCACTTTTTGTCCGGCGTCCATAACCTTTTTTCTAAAATATCAATAATTTTCTTATAAATACTTTTATTTATTAAATATATATTTTTTACACTTCTGTTCTTGGTAGTAACTTGTAACTATGATCTGGTAGGATCCTACTTTCAAGATTGGTCTATTAGCTGTTGAGATCTATCTCAGCAATGCTTCCCCATGAATCTGTGTGTGTCTGCGCCCATGTCAACCTCTTAGCTCCTCTGTACACTGCAACATTGTTTTGTCCTTTAGCCTGCTCTCTGTGACTGTGCCCTGTTTTGTAGATCATAGCTATCAATTCTGACTGTTATCTGTGACTGTGTCCTGTTTTGTAGATCATAGCTATCAATTCTGACTGATATCTGTGACTGTGCCCTGTTTTGTATATCATAGCTATCAATTCTGACTGTTATCTGTGACTGTGCCCTCTTTTGTAGATCATAGCTATCAATTTTACTGTTATCTTTGACTGTTTTATTGTTATTCAGACTGCTCTCTGTAA